CCTACCCTTGATCTTCAGGCTGGCTGTTGTCTTCTGGTCTCCACACACACAGCTGTAGTCTCCGCTGTCTTCTGGCAACACTTTATTGATCAGGAGTTCATTCACAGAGGCCTTCTGCTTCATCTGGTACTTTTCTCCAGACTTCAGGACCTGCGTGCCCTTCTTCCACTCCACTGGAACTCCAGGTTTAGAGATCTCACAGCACAGAGTAACGCTGGCTCCCTCCTCAGCCTCCTGGCTTTCCAACTTCTGTTTGAAGGTCACTGGTTGGGCTAAGCATTTATCAATTGGTTAGCAGCCAGTGGCATACCATTATATAAAACATTAATATATAAAACAAAAAAACAAAAACAAAAAACGAACACTGAACACAAACAAAGAAAAACACTGACAATTTCCAAAACATGATGACATTCAGACACCAAAACAAACACGTCTACATATGTGCATATAAAACGCAGTTCTATGTAATCTTTAAAAAATGTTACTCAAGCTGACTCCTTGAAAATTCTCTCCCTACCCTTGATCTTCAGGCTGGCTGTTGTCTTCTGTTCTCCACACATACAGCTGTAGTCTCCGCTGTCTTCTGGCAACACTTTCTCAATCAGGAGTTCATTCACAGAGGCCTTCTGCTTCATCTGGTACTTTTCTCCAGACTTCAGGACCTGTGTGCCCTTCTTCCACTCCACTAGAACTCCAGGTTTAGAGATCTCACAGCACAGAGTAACGCTGGCTCCCTCCTCAGCCTCCTGGCTTTCCAACTTCTGTTTGAAGGTCACTAGTTGGGCTAAGCATTTATCACTTGGTTAGCAGCCAGTGGCATACCATTATATAAAGCATTAATATATATATATAGATATTAATAATTATACAAAAACACACACACAAAAGAAAAACACTGACAATTTGCAATACATGATGAAATGCGACTCAAAAACAAACATTTCTAAATATGCACAAATGAAAAGCTCTTTTATACAATTTTCTGAAAATGTTACTCAAGCTGACTCTTTGAAAATTCTCTCCCTACCCTTGATCTTCAGGCTAGCTGTGGTCTTCTGGTCTCCACACACACAGCTGTAGTCTCCGCTGTCTTCTGGCAACACTTTGTTGATCAGGAGTTCATTCACAGAGGCCTTCTGCTTCATCTGGTACTTTTCTCCAGACTTCAGGACCTGTGTTCCCTTCTTCCACTCCACTGGAACTCCAGGTTTAGAGATCTCACAGCACAGAGTAATGTCGGCTCCCTCTTCAGCCTCCTGGCTCTCCAGCTTCTGTTTGAAGGTCACTGGTTGGGCTGAGCATGTATTAGTTGGTTAGCAGTCAGTTGCATGCCATTACATCAAATATAAAATGTACAAAACACACAAAAGACAAACATACACAGTCTACAATCCATGTGATGTGCAGACTTCAAAACAAGCTAAATATGTACATATAAAAAGCTTGTTCTATTAATGTTTCTATGGGTGCCCGGTTAGCTCAGTCAGTAGAGCTGGTAACCCATATACGGAGTTGCTGCAGCGGCCCAGGTTCGAATCCGACCTGCGGATCGTCCCCTCTCTCTACCCACCTTTCCTGTCTATCTTCGGCTGTCCTATCGAATAATGGCATGAAAAGCCCAGGTCTCTGGTTGGGCTGAGCATTATTATGATATTAATCAGTTGGCTACCAGTTGTAAGAAATGAAAAAAACAATAACACACATTGATATTGATGCAGAGCATCTGAAACAAGATCACCCAGCATCATGCCAGCAATTTCAGCATTTGTTCTGGATTTGTTGGACTTGCATTTCAAGTCCAACCTATGCCACCCAAGGGCAAGAAATGTACAGCAGCATTTTAGAACGAAATATGTAGATATGGCCAGGTATGCATTTGATAAGCTGTAGTTTTAATACTTGTACCACCTGCAGGCAGTATGTCTTAGAGCTGCAGTCTTTCCTTTGTCATAGCTGCCGTTTGTGTATATGTTAAAGCTTTTCTATCAAAGGTTTTAAACATACAGTATGTATGAGTTGTGAAAACAGTCTGCGATCCATGATGACATGCAGACTTCAAAACAAATTGAATGTGTACATATAAAAAGCTTCTTCTATAAATAACTCAAACCGACTCCTTGAAAATCCTTTCCCTACCCTTAATATTGAGGCTGGCTGTTGTCTTCTGGTCTCCACACACACAGCTGTAGTCTCCGCTGTCTTCTGGCAACACTTTGTTGATCAGGAGTTCATTCACAGAGGCCTTCTGCTTTATCTGATACTTTTCTCCAGACTTCAGGATCTGTGTTCCCTTCTTCCACTCCACTGGGACTCCAGGTTCAGAGAGCTCACAGTGCAGAGTAATGTCAGTTCCCTCTTCAGCCTCCTGGCTTTGCAACTTCTGTATGAAGGTCGGTGGTAATGCTGTACAACCAGGTTTTCATTACTTGTCAAAATCAGGTGAAATAACTTGTTTAACAAAGGTCTTAACAAAACACGCTAAAGACAACTGAAGTGAAACTCCTTTGGAAAATACAACATAAACACATAAAATCTATCCAAAATGTTGCTGAAAAACACTTCAGAGATCCATACCATTGACTTTTACAGTTGCAGATGTCTTCTGGTCCCCACACACGCAAGAGTACTCTCCGCTATCTTCAACCTTCAAATTCTTAATATGAAGCTCGCAACAGGTCTCCTTCTGCTTCATCTCATACTTCTCTCCAGCTTTGAGAATTTCAGAGCCTTTCTTCCACTGAACGTCAGCCCCAGATTTTGATAACGTGCAGCAAAGTGTCACAGCCTCCCCTGTGTTTTTCTCTTGGTTCTTGAGCTTCTCTTTGAAACTGGCAGGCAGGGCTAAAATAAAATGAACAATGACTTGATTATATAAAACAGGGAGTTGCATTTTGTTGGGTTGCGATGGAGGATGGGAAATGATTAGTCGTCCAGTCGTCCAACGTTAGCCATTGGAACCCAGAAATGATTCCAACACATGTTGACTGATGTTCCTTTTGATGAAGGTTTAGCTACAGTGCACTTTATATAAAAACAAAAACACACTCTCAATACAATACTACAGAATGAAACCCTTTTTGAAATGCACAAAAGAAAGATTTGTTTATGCAGTGCGCATATTGCATAAAAAGACGATGCATTTAGGAAGAGATCACTTTGAAATGTTTGCACATGCTGCTGGATGCCATTCGCAGTGTGTGGATGTGCAAACACTCTCTAAATCATACAAACCCCAAGACAAAGATGACAGAACAGTGCAACAAAAGAGCAAAGTAGGTCCTACAGGGATACACTCACAATGCAAAATACTGAAAACAAATTTCTATTAGGAAAATGCAACAGATTTAGTAAAAATTAAGCCAGATCTATGGTACTTCTGACAAATCTACACTATAAGTAGATTTGACTGACATGTCTGTTACCTTTGACAGCATACTTTCTGATTCCCAGCAACCACAGAGATGGTGCCCGAGTCGCTGGGAGTTAGCTCTCTTACAGTAAGAGAGTAGAAACCCCCCTCTAGAACGTGAATGTCATCTAGGGGGCTTGGCTGCAGCGGGGTATGATCTAAGCACCACTTTACACGAGGCAGATGAGTAGGACTGACACGGCAAACAAATGTAGCACATTCACCTTCAAAACAGTTAACATCTTGTAGTTTTTCCACTATAACCACCAACTGGCCTTAAAAGCAAAACCAAACCAAAAAGATAGACAGATAATCAGCTCTGCAAGACAAACACTTACCCCAAACTTGTAAACATACATACATACATACATACATACATAAATACATACATACATACTTAAGTTCTTACCATTGACTGTCACCTTTGCCATGCTCTTGGCAGTGCCAACGTCACAAGTGTAGATATCAGTGTCTTTCTCCTCCAGGTGCTTGATGGTGAGAGTTATGACCCCCTCCTTCTGGGACATCTCATATCGGCCTCCAGCCTTGAGCTCTGTGTGCCCTTTAAGCCATATAACAGTAGATGGGGTTTGTGCAGTCTCACAATTCAAGGTCACAGAACTCTTCTCCACGGCTTCACTGTCCTTCAGTGTTTTAGTGAATTTATGGATTGGCTCTGTAAAATGAAAAAAAACGTGTTACACTTTTTAGGCACAGTATGAAATTATTGGATTGAGCTATGGGTTCAGAAATTTAGATTATCCCATAACTGGTCCTAATTTTAGTGAAGATATCTATTCTCTTTAATGCTCGTATGCTATCAAAGGTGAAACGCATAGTAGTGTTTTCAGTCTTACCTTTGATTTCAAGCTTGGCTTTGGTGGTTGCACCTCCAACAACTTCACAACTGTACTCTCCAGAGTCTTGAGCAGAGACATTGTGGATGATCAGCTTCATGACCTTGTCCTCTTGGCTAATATCATACTTCTGGCTCTTTTTGATGGCTTTGCTTTCCTTGGACCACTTTACGGTGGAACTAGCCTGTGTTACCTCACAGGTAAATACAGCATCTTCCCCTTGATCAACGCTAACATTCTGTAGTCCCTTTGACACAGACGAAGCTTTGCCTACAACAAGGAATGATAACATGTTTGTGTTAATTCCTTAATACCTTTTTTTTCTATGTCTAGGCCTCTTTACAATGTAGCTTACCTTCAACTGTTAATGTTGTTTTGGAGCTCAGATCTTTAATGTTGAAGACCACCTCTCCAGCATCAGCAGGAGTGACATCCTTAATGGTGAGCATGTACTTGCGTCCTTTACTGGTGATTTTGAAGCGGCCTCCATTTGTAATAGTTTGGCCATTAAGGGTCCAGGAACACTCATCTGTGCTCTCACGAGATAAGATGCATTCAAAGGTACAAGACTCTCCCTCATTCACCTCAGCTGACTTCAGCCATTTGGTTATTCCAATGCCAATCTCTAAATTTGGGACAGAGAGCATAATTTGGTGAAGATGCCACACAATACCACATGTATGAAGGCTAATGCTGTAAAACTCAAATACCGGTACCAACCTCTTACAGTGACCTTTGCTTTAGAAACTTCAGTTCCAAGATCACAACTATACTCTCCAGCATCTTCTTTGGTGACATCCTTGATGATCAGCCCCAAAGACTTGCCCGTGTGAAGAAGCTCATACTTTGGTCCAGCCTTCAAGACTTTACCTTCTTTTCTCCATGTGGGAGAAACCCTGGGCTTGGACGCCTCACACGCCAGAGTTATCATGCCTTTCTCCTCTCCGATGACATCATCTAGAGACTTGAGGAAGACAGCACGCTTCTCTGGAGGGGCATTCAGAAAGTAAAGAATAACTGGGAGGTATATTATGTTCTCACCTTTTGGGTAGACCAGGGTTAGGCCACATTACGAGCATATATAAAGAGCTGATTTTCAGAGAAAATACTAATAAAGTTTCTAAGTATGGTAACGTCTGATTGCCTGCCTTAACCTGATATTCACATAGTCATTTTTTTTTTTAGTGTGTGCTTGCAATAGTATTGCACGACAGCTCTTACCTTTAACCCTGAGTGTCACAGACTCTTTCACCTTGCGGACTTGAAAGGTGATAGTTCCCCCATCCTGAGGTGCTAAGTTCTTCAGTGTGAGCTTGTGAACCTTCCCCTCATGAGTGATGGTGTTGACTTCATTAGTGAAGAGCACCTTGTCATTCAGGAGCCACTGCACCTCTTCATCTGCGTAGTTAATCTCGCTTGTGAAAACCGCATCGCTGTCTTCGTCTACCTCTGTGTCGGCCAAGTGCTTGGTGACCTTAATTTCACGCACTGGACAGAATAAACAAAACAGTTTTAGTTTGAAGACCACTTTAGTCCAAAACCATAATAATAAAGACATGTACAACTGCTGTAATTGCTTGTATTTTGTGTGGTATTAAAAGGTTCAACCTGTACCTTCAACAGTAAGTGTGCCTTTGGTGTTAGCCGGTCCAGACTGACAGCAGTACTCTCCACTATCTTCCTCAGTCAACCTTTGTATGGTAAGTTGAGCCCTTGTAGCATCTTGCTTCATGTTATACTTATCTGACGCTGCCAGAGGTACCTGACCTTTGAACCAATTAACCTCTTTGGGTGTGGCAGAGAATTTGCAGCTAAGTATGGCCGAGCTTTTCTCCTTTGCCTTCACATCTTTGATGGGCTCTGCGACCTCAAGCGGACGCTCTAAACGTGAGGAACAGTACGTGATTAGACTCAGCTGAATGATGCTGGATATATTTACCTACAACAGTATCACAGTACACAGGTTATTATGGCCAACTGCTGTATAGACGTGATTCAACACATTTACCTTTGACTGTGAGCTGGGCTGAAGATTTGCTCTTCCCAGCTGTAAACTGTACAGGTCCTGTCATTGATGCTTTGGTCTTTTTGAAAGTGAGACAGTGCATAGTGCCCTCTTTCTCCATTTCAACATCAGCGCTCTCCTGCACAGCAACTCCATTCAGAGTCCATGTAGGAGGTTTCACCAGTTCCATACTGATTTCAACTTCAAAAACAGCTGCAAAGGGTTCTGTCACTTCTACAGAACTAATCTCCCGCACAATGCTGATGGATTGCTCTGGAGGGGTCATGAAAAGAGAGTGGTTCAGCTAGAAGTTAATGATACAGTATGATTTCCTAAAATAAAAGTGATATTGATTTATAGTAAAGGACCATACCAATGGTTTGGTCTTTTTAGAGACCCAGATCAAACTGCAAACCCCATATACTTACATTACTGCCTAACGCTGCACTAGTGGTCAGAAATTAAGAAATGGCGTCCAATATTTTGCATGCTATAAAATTAATCTAGCAGATACTTAAACCTTGCTGAAACACATAACGTAAATAAACTAACTTAATAGAGATCCATTTGATTTATTCTGACAAGACACACACTGAGCAGGATATTTAAAAAAAAAAAAGAAGTAAACTTTCTGATGGAGACACTGTTTCTAAATAACTTAGTTTGGCATTTCTGTTCTCTGTATGTTTTGTCACTTATCAGCCGACATATAAACAGATATGGATACATCTGCAATAAGCTACTTTTGGAAATAATAATAGCAATAATAGTAATAATTATCCAAATTTGTAAAATAATAGTCCAAATGTGATTATTTTTAAATATACACTGCTAACAATTGCCGGTATATCCTCAAATTCTCTCCCACCTCACTGTCAATGTTTTAAAACAGAAATATGAGAAAAAAATAAATATTTTGAATTCTCTTGGGAGCTATAGTTAAATCAAGGAGTTTATCTTTAATGTTATCTATAAAAATATGTGTTCGAAATTATACAATTGCCTTGAAATAAACAAAAACAATACATCATATAAAATTATATAGACAAGTATAACACAATTACTATACATACAGTGGAAATTCATCGTTTTTAACCAGTCCTTATCTTAATGCTTCTAAACACTCACACATGTGGTTTCACCGTTGGCAGATTGATCTCAATCTTTGTTTTGTTGCACTTGCTAGACCAGGAATACGGCACACAATGTGACTTGTCATAGTAGAAGAAGCACGGGTGTTACTAAATTAATGATAGCTCCTTTCAGTCCCAGTGTCCCTGTAAGCCATGACAGTGACAGCATGCACAATGCCAGGACACCGAAACCGCAGCAGCTGAATGGAATTCAGCCATCACTGAATTTATTATTTACACCAGTACTTTATCTACTGTGACATGTCCAGATGTCTTCTGTGAAATGGCCTATTATTTGTTCATGGACTTTGATGTAATGACCTCATGTATTTCCCTCCAAAATTCAACCTGAGCAGAGGTCTCCTTAATCAGAATGACTGAAAACACTGTCACTTACTTCACCTGTAGTGGGAATTCAGTTTGGTTAATTTCTTTCATGCACAAATAATTTCAAATATTGATTACTATGTTAATTCATTTAGTAGGTCAGGCCAAGAAATAAATCAACATAATGATCCTATAATTCCCATTAGAACAATACTAATGGATAATAGATACATGTACACATGTCGATAGATAAATAAATAGACAGACATGAATATATAGACAGATACCTCATTGACTAGGAGTCTGATGGCTTGTTTTGTGTAAATACCTTTGTATGAACATGTATTTACACAATCCTATACATAAATGCCCTACAATTTATAAACCCTAAGCTTACAATCAACCGTTGTCATCTTCCATCATGTTACCTTCCACAAGTAGTTTACAGGATGTCTTGTCATCAGTGGCGTCACAGGTATACGTGTCCTCGTCACCCTCGTCCACGTCGTTGATGGTGAGTTTTCGGTACACATCTTCACTTTTGATCTCATACTTCTTGCCGGGTTTGATCTCCGTCTTGTTCTTGAACCACTTCACCTTTGCACTGGCACGTGACACTTGGCATTCAAGATGACCGCGATGTTTATACATCGCTATCTTATCCCTGAGTCTCTTCACAAACTTGACAGGCAGCTCTACAGTAACAATAACACTGAATCAATGAAAACTATCACGTGTGGCACAAAGGAAGATTAAAGGCTAATAATGCCAAGGCTTTGCCAAAAGCCTTGCCTAAGCGCACAAAAGGACAGGCAGTGTTCATTATTTAATTACTGTATGTTATAGCCGAAGCAAATTGGGAAAATATATAATGGAATATTGTAAAACATTCCAACATTTTTTGCAAAAGCTAAAGCGGATAGCAAGAATATTGTAAAGACACTTGCCATTTGTTGTTTATATATCAGTTGCTGTTTGATTGCAAACAGCGAGACACTGACATAGAAACAAGAAAACGTGCATGTTGATGCAACTTAGAGAAACTTAGAGCAACTAATGGTCAACTGATAGCAAAGTATGCTATCTAATCTGTAACATAATTTGTTTTATTCTCATACTCCTAGAGATTTTCAATCAACAAATGTCGATTGATGTCGATTGATGTCTTCTCCATATATTTCTCTATTCTCGAAACCCCTTAAAAATAATCCTAAACCTCATATAGTTGTTACTTCTTTGCCATCAGGCCTCAATGAGGCATAACAATGTACACTGCAAGTTGCAACTGGATTTTCTATCTCACCAATAATGTCAGAATGATGTACTGTGTTTACTCCCTCAGGAAGACGGCATTTCATCTAACTTTAGTGTAGCCTTTTTCATTTGGCTCACTAAAGCAGTTGAAATGTTGAAGTTACTTTATAAAATAATCCAGGAGTTCTGTATAGGATAATAATACGTTTACAGAAGTCTAATGGTTTATAATTTCAAGGGAAAATAATGTTTAACATGTGCGGTATTTATTTATTTGCAACTTTCTAAAAGCTTTTGTCATAATGAATAGAAATCATCCATTTGCAACCACATCTGAACATTGTAACATAATGGTTAGCTAATCCATGCAACAATATACAGAATATAATGTTATGTGATTTCAGCACATAACACACACTCTTTTACCTTTCACTTTAAGCTTTGCAGTTGAAGAGGCCTTCTCAGCTGTGAATTTAATATCACCCATATCTTCTGGGGAAACAGACTTAAACAGCAGTACATAGGTTTTGCCTGGAATGAGAAATAGACAGCTAGTAGCAGTTAGCGAAGAATCATTATTCAGGTAAATCCTGTAACACATTACATGAATATACAGGTAGTTGAATCACACTGGTTTGCTAATCTCTTGAGATCTTACCCTCTTGTCTCATCTTGATGTTGTCACTGACTTTGACTTTGGTACTTCCTTTGTACCACTGACAGTCCACTTCATCATGAGAAATTTCGCAGACAAATGCAGCACTCTCCTTCTCCATCACCTCCACATCTTCCAACTTCTTAATAATCTTAATATCTCTGGCTGCAGGGAGAATATTTTTAAGATGTTTCTATATACTGGAAATTTTTATAATTAAATAATGGTTGACTGGTTTGTGTGCTTCATGACGTGACTGACAATTACCATGAATGGTGAGCTTAGCAGAAGTGTTGTCATCAGTTGTGCGACAGATGTAAGTGCCTGCATCTTCAGGGGTGCATTTGTTGATGACCAAAGTGCGCTTTCGACCCAAAGAATGGATGCCAAAGTTCTTCCCTGGTTTCAGTTCCACATCATCCTGCAGATAAAACATTTTGTTAAAATATTACATTGTATTTTACACTTTTTAAATCGTATTATTTCAATCTGCAAACAATTATTCCAATAATAGTTTCTCACCTTAAACCATTTAACATCTGCATTTGTTCTGGAAACTTCACATTCAAAAGTAACCTTCTCCTTCTCAGGAACACTAATATCCAAAATGGGCTTGGAGATCATAGAAGGAGGTTCTGTAGAAGTAGAAAAAATGTGACTAGACTATGACTCTTAAGGCGGAATGGGTGCAAACATATAGAGGTTTGGTCGGGTGAGACCCTAGCAACTGAAAACAGCCCTTACCTGTTACAATCAGTTTGCCAGAAACATGTACTCCTTCTGCTTGGAAGGCAATAGTTCCTGCATCCTCCCTCTTGAGATTGGACAATGTTAGGGCATGTTTCTTTGCCAATGCTGTGATACGGCAGTTTGCCCCTGCCTTTAACTTGGCCCCATCCCTGGTCCAGGAGCCCTCGACATCAGCCTGGCTGAGTTCTACCTCCAGAGTAACTGTCTCTGTCTCATGTGCCTTGGTTTCTTTTAGGCCCTTTATTACCTGGATCTTCTTCACTGAAGGGAGGAAGAGGAAATGTTTGAGTTTTAACATGCAAGCAAGGTTTCCTAGCTTGTATCTTGTCATTTATATCCAAATACCCATTACTAGAGAATGACATTTTCTTTCTGGAGTTAAGATAAGTCCTTAAATACTGTATTTTGTATTTTAAAAATATCACTGTGGATCAGTCTTACTCTCCACGGTGAGTTTGCCCTGGGTTTTGTCATCAAGAGTTTCACAGGAATACATGCCCCGGTCAGCATGAGTCACACTCTTGAAGACCAGAGCCTGCTTAGCTCCATCCACCCGAATCTCCATGTTTCCTGCAGGCTGCAGGACTACGCTGTTCTTCATCCACCTCACTTCGTCTGATGGCTTACTTAGTTCCACCTCCAGCTTCACTTCACTCTGCTCCTCCACTGTCAGGTTTTCTAGCTTTTTCTTAAATGTCACAGGCTCATCTAATTAAAAGAAATGTCAAAGTTAAAGAGGAAATTCCATTATTTAACTTACTTACTTAAAGCTGATATTTTAAGAAAAAATGCATTATCTTACGTTGCACTTGTAGGGTAGCTTTGCAGCTTTTGCCTTCAGCGTCAACGCTAATTTCTCCAGCATCTTTTTGGGTGACAGAGGTGATGGTGAGTGAGTGACTGTTGCCACCATGCTCAATCTTATACTTGGGCCCAGCAGCGATGGGTATACTGTTGTGAAACCATTTCACGTTGACGTCTGCTAGGGAGACAGCGCACTTGAAAATGGCCTCTTTTCCCTCCATTGCAGCCACATTGTTGAGTTTGGTGGTCAGCCGCACTAGTCTGGGTGCTGAAAGGAATGAGTGATATCAAATAAAGCAGACTGATATGAAAGAAAACATTTCTAACCTGAAACAAAGCATTTTTGATTTTTTAACAAAATGATTAATTACCTTTTGAGGAGACTTTAGCAGAGGTCTTGTCATTTCTACATTCACAGCTGTATTCTCCTTCATCTTCTTTAGTCATGCCACTCACGGTGAGAAACCGCTTAGCACCATCTGTTCTTACACAGTACCTGCCTCCAGGTTTTATCTCACGACCGCCATGCTGCCAGATAACATCCCCTGAGGCTTGATTTAGTTCACACACCAGACTAAGTGTACCTCCCAACTCCACTGTAGCGGGTTTCAAAGTGACAACAAACTTCAAAGCTGCATCTGAAATGAAAGCATGGAAGTTCAGTTAGACATCAAAACAAAATCTGGCATCTGAAGAGGTCTATACAGCAATGCAGAATGTGAAAAACAATTCTATGCCTTGCCTTTAACTTGAACTTTGAACTCCAGTTTGTCATCTGCAGTTTGACAGCAGTACGATCCACTGTCTTTGGATCCGGTGGATTTTACTATCAGGGTACGAGAAAGGCCATCTTTTTTCATTTCATACTTGCTGCCCTCCTTGAGCTCCACACCGTCTCTAAACCACTTCACACTACCACTCTCTGCGGTCAGCTCAGTGGTCAAAACAATGTTTTCACTTGCTTGAACAATACATGTATCCTTGACAAGCTTCTTCTGGAACTTGACAGCTGCATCTAAAGATAAGTAAGAGCTTCTTGTCAGTGCTTTGTGCAGAGAGTGTGGAAAAATACACTTTATTTGAAATATATTTCACCTGTCATCTGTAGCTTAAATACCAGCTTCTCTGTTCCAGCTTCACATGTGTATTCTCCAGCATCTTTTTTCTCCATTTTTTCTATCACCAGCTCACGGCTCTTGCCCTTTGACTCCATGTGGACTGCTTTGCTGGAAGTCAGCAGCTTGCCATCCTTGTACCACTTTACCTCTGTCTTCGAATCAGAAACCTCACAGCTCATGGTGGCTTTCTGCGAGAGAGTGGCTTTCACCTCCTTCTGGACAGACTCCTTGTTGGAGAAGCCAGCTGGGGCTTCTGGGAAAGCAAATGAAATATTAGCATGTAAACAAATGGCAACATATCAGTCCACCCTGAAATAAATGGAACCAGCCAAAACCTTTCAGCCACAGTGAACAGGCTTAATGATTGTGTGCATACAAGGGGAACACAACAGAAAAAAACAACACACAATGCTATATTACATATAATACATATATACATATAAATAAGAAAAATGTAATTCACACTTGCATACTCTCTGCAAATACTAGCAACATCTTATTCCTCCTACCTGCCACCTGTATCTTAAAAGCCAGCTTCTCAGTTCCAGCCTCACAGATGTACTCCCCGGCATCCTTCTTCTCCACGCTGTCGATCACCAGCTGGCGACTCTTTCCCTTCGACTCAGTATGGACTGTCTTACTGGAAGTGAGCAGCTTGCCATCTTTGTACCATTTCACCTCTGTCTTGGTATCAGAAACCTCACAGCTCAGAGTGGCTTTCTGAGAGAGAGTGGCTTTCACCTCATTTTGGACTGAATCCTTATTGGAGAAGGCTGACTTGAGTTGGATCTCTGTAAAAGTAATAATGGAGAATGTCATTGCCCCACTTAATTTTGATACAACTCATAAAAATAACTGATTCAGTATCATACAAGCCAAAATATTACAATAAAAATCACACAGAGATGAAATTAAGTGGATGAATATACAGCCAAGACCAGCACACGTGAATAAATCACAAAAAGCAACGCAAATATCTCTGATACCAACATACTACAACATCAATCAACCCAGAACAGCCGTTAAGCACAATTAAAAATTCTAATCTTCCAATTTTTACATATACTATTCTCTTTAATTCCTCATACCTGTTACATGTACTTTAAATGCCAATTTTTCAGTTCCAACTTCACAGATGTATTCTCCAGAATCTTTCTTCTCTACGCTGTCGATCACAAACTGACGGATCTTGCCCTTTGATTCCAAGTGAACTGCTCTGCTGGAACTCAGCAGTTTTCCGTCCTTGTACCATTTTACCTCTGTCTTGTTATCAACTACCTCACAGCTCAGGGTGGCTTTCTGGGAGAGAGTAGCTTTTACTTCCCTCTGGACAGACTCTTTGTTGAGGAAAGCGGATTTAGCCTGGCCTTCTGTAGAAGTAACTGTAAAGGAGTGTGGCGGCAGTACAATTACCCATACAGAAAAAGGACTTGACTCCACAACACTGACACCACTTTGGATTTACTGGACAAACGCAACCAAACTTTACATATACAGTGCACAGAGAAATAAGCTCTATTAAAGCACATCAAATTGAGGGAGACACAACACAGCACTTAGAGGTCATAAAGCAAAAGCAAATTGGGCATCTACATGTTGCCGCACGGAGGCACAATAAATACATCAAAAGCAATTCTTTCAGAAAGAAAACGACCAAATATGTGACCAGCAACTGACACACAACAGAGCCACAAGACACCAGAGCTACCTCAGGAAACAAATGCTACAAGAAATCAAAGTATGAAGCTCACGAGTGCATACAGGCAACAATACATTTGCAATTTCAATTGTCAACGTGAGACTCCAAGTCAATATTGGACTATAAATGCTTGAGCGAAGCATGCCAAATATCTCATAAATGAAGCAACCAACAAAGCAGCCAAAATGAATTTACGATCACAAACCAGAGAAGACTATAGACAGAACTATAAAACACAAAATATCCACCAGTTTCACACAGTACATGTCTTCAATTATTAAAAAATACAAAACAAAATTTACATGCTCAGTGTTTATTATCAAACATCTGTTTCTAAGCATTATGTAATTAGCCAACAACCTTTTACACATATATCTGACAATGCAATTACCGTTGTATAAGACTAATATTAAAACTAGTTGGTATCTATGTTTATGTTTTACATGCTATGTCGAAGGGAAGGGAAGGGAAGGGAATACTATCAAGTATCAACCACAGGTAGGATTCAATAATCAATTTGGTATTTATTAAACATACTGCATTCTCCTTACCTTCCACATGTATTTTGAAGACCAGCTTCTCAGTCCCAACCTCACAGATGTACTCTCCAGCATCTTTCTTCTCCACGCTGTCTATGACCAGCTGGCGACTCTTGCCCTTTGAATCTGCATGTATTGTCCTGCTGGTGGTCAGCAGCTTGCCATCCTTGTACCATTTCACTTCTGTCTTGGTATCAGAAACCTCACAGCTCAGAGTGGCTTTCTGGGAGAGAGTGGCTTTCACCTCCTTCTGGACTGACTCCTTGTTGGAGAATGCAGACTGGACCTGTGCATCTGTGGAGGAGACCAAGAATGTGGCTGACAAAAACTTTTTCCCTGTACATTGATATGTTAGCACCTGAGATACCTGTACATCAATCAACAAAAATACTATAAGACAGTTCTGTCCTTGCCCCTACCTGCCACCTGGAGTTTGAAGACCAGCTTCTCAGTCCCAGCCTCACAGATATACTCCCCAGCATCCTTCTTCTCCACGCTGTCGATCACCAGCTGCCGACTCTTGACTTTCGACTCAGTATGGATTGTCTTAGTGGAAGTCAGCAGCTTGCCATCCTTGTACCATTTCACCTCTGTCTTGGTATCAGAAACCTCACAGCTCAGAGTGGCTTTCTGGGAGAGAGTGGCTTTCACCTCCTTCTGGACTGACTCCTTGTTGAAGAAGGCTGGCTGGGCCTCTGGTGGAGGAAGCATGACAGGGAGAACCTCAGATGCTATTCTTTCAGAATAAGCACCTAATATGTAATATAATGTTTTTGAATATATTCCATCTTCCCTTACCTGCCACGTGCATCTTAAAAGCCAGCTTCTCAGTCCCAGCCTCACAGATGTACTCTCCAGCATCCTTTTTCTCCACGCGGTCGATCACCAGCTGGCGGCGCTTGTCTTTCGACTCAGTATGGACTGTCTTACTGGAAGTGACCAACTTGCCATCCTTGTACCATTTCACCTCTGTCTTGATATCAGCTACCTCACAGCTCAGAGTGGCTTTCTGGGAGAGAGTGGCTTTCACCTCCCTCTGGACTGACTCCTTGTTGAAGAAAGCTGACTGGGCCTCTGAAGCTAACGTCAGTGAGAGATGAGAACGTATAACATTAATGACTGAAACATATTACAGACATCTATTTGACACATTCTTTTATTCTGAATCTCCATTTATTCTACATCCTGTAAATGGGATGCACCCAGATGACTAAATGTATGGGAACTAACCTCTCCAAACCCTTAACTCAAATTACTGAAGCTCTCAGACACACAAACAGAAATCATATTATATTTGTTCATTCTTTATATTCAATTAACCCTACCTGACACAGATATCTTGAAGACCAGCTTATCCCCCCCAGCTTCGCATGTATACTCTCCAGCATCACTCTTCTCCACCTTTTCTATCACCAGCTGACGAGTACTGCCTTTCACTTCTGAGTATATTGTCTTACTGGATACCAACAGCTTGCCATCTTTGTACCATTTCACCTCAGTCTTGCTGTCCGAAACATTGCAACTAAGAGTAGCTTTCTTGGAGAGAGTAGCTTTCACCTCCTTCTGGACTGACTCCTTGTTGGAGAAGGCAGCTAGTGCTTGAGTTTCTGAAAGAAAATAAATAAGGTAAAGAAATATATATCTGTGATGTGCAGGCAAGTGTTGAATAGTACTACAAAAGCATCATACAGCCTTACCTTTTATCTTGACCTGGAATGTGACTTTGTCTGCTGCTGTCTCACAAGAGTAATGTCCTTCGTCACTTTTCTTGGCACTCTTGATGATGAGCTTCCTTTGAGTCCCTTTGGAGATGATGGTACTTCTTTGGTCCTCATTGATCTCCACTTGATCTTTTTTCCACACAACGGTCGCGCTGGCAGGAGATACCTCACAGCTCAGCTCAAGATCTCCTTTAAGGGTCGATGACAATCCCATGGTACCTCTGGCTTTGTTCAGAAACTTGGCAGGTTCATCTTAGAGAAAAATAAGAGACAAAAAAGGCACAAATTGAAATCCATTTGAAAATGTGTTGGTTATCAGTGTAGTTCATATGTAGGAAGAGTTGGGGGTAGTGAGTTGACTACATGATGACAGATAGCGCTTTCCTCTGCTTGATGGCTCAGAAGCATATGCTAGCAGCCATCGGAGCAGATCACATTTCAGTACATCACATGGTCTAACACAAACTTTCTGCATTATGTGGGCTTTAGTCAGTACTTGCTGAACACGCAGAGCCCAATTCCCATTGCAAAATCATCTTTCCCCCAGGCAGATCACATTGGAGATACTAAAAGCTTTGCAGGCCAACAAATGATCCATGACAGTCAGATTGTTGACTTTGTTCTGTGATAGTTAGGTTGAATTTCATTCCAGTTCAATTTTATTTGTATAGCGGCAAATCATAACAAAAGATATCTCAGGACACTTTTCAAATAGAGCAGGTCCAGACTGTACTCCTTATAAAGAGACCCAACCGTTCCCACCATAGGCAATTGTACTCAGTAGCAATGTTTTTGATGAGCGTACCTTTAAGAGCGAGTTGCAGGGACAATCTTTCATCACCTAAAACACACTCGTAGATGCCCACATCTTCCTCTGTAACATTATGTACCATCAGGATCCTCTTGCGGTCGATGATCATACATTCATACTTCTTTCCCATCTTCACCTCCCGCCCATTCCTCATCCAAACCACCTGAAAAAACAAAAAAAGGATAAAGAGCCACGTTAGACATGGTTAAATAAGTATATTCTACTAAAGCAGTTAGTGTTACCAAGTAGGAGTACTTCTTTTGATAAGTACTCAAATACAAAAGTGTCTCTTTTAAAGATTATTCTGGGTAACAGTAACATGAAATAGAAAATGTGGTCTACTGATTGTATGTTATTTCCATATGAATACCCTACCAACTTCAATCACAATAGTGTACTTCAATTCAACCCAAAGTACTGACTGTACTATCTCTCAAAGATTCTAGAAAGAAGCTAACTTAAATGGATTACCTATTTCTAAAGGTAGTTGAGTATAATGCTTCATCAAAAAGCAGAATTCTAAAATCTATTCAATTACATAAATTATAATGCTCTTTATGTTTTCCATCCCCTGTACCCTGTACAATAATCTGTGAAAGCTAAAAGTAAAGTTGAAAATGATGTATGCTCCCATCACAAACCTTTGCATCATAATCCGACACCTCAGCAGTCAGCTGAGCAGTGGCTTGGGCACTGCAGATCACCACCTCTATGATATCTGACTTGTTGGTGAACCTCAAAGGAGGAGCTGTCAGAGGCGTAAGAAGGCAAAATACAGTAAACATCAACGACCTTCAATTAAAAAACAAGGCTATCTACAAATGTACTTCAATATATTAATATGATTTAAAGCATTTTTCGCTATTTATACTTTAACTGGCCATGAGTGCATACCCTTCACAGAAAGGACACAACTGCTTTGCGAGCCTCCACCCACAAACTTGACTTCAGCTCCGTCCATTTCCACAGTCACTAAACGGATGAGCAGAGTGTGTGTGTTCTTGGACCTGGTGATGAGGTAGTCAGCTCCACTGCGCAGGAGGCGGCCGTTTAGAGACCAGAAGCCAGAACAGACAGCAGACAGCTCCACTGAGATAGAGAATTCCTCCCCAGTGATCGCAGTACTGTTCATTAGGCCTTTCCTGATTTCAGCAGAGGGTTCTGAGGACAACATGCAAACCACACATGAGAAAAGAACATTCGAATGTACAGCAGCGGCACATGAATGATAAATGTGAGTCTTACCGAGGTAGAAGCTTCCAGGCACCTCAAGGTAGGAACTCTGGCCAAAGTCGTTCATAGCAGAGATGCGGAATTGGTAGCTTGCTTCTTCAGTGAAGTGGCAGATGGTGACCTCTGTTGACACAATGGTTTCTCCAGCATTGCACCTCTGCCATGTCTGGGTGCCAACCTTCCTCCTCTCCACAATGTAGCCCTTGATGGGCACAGGGCGGCCGCTGTCAGGAGGAGACCACTGAATGGTGATGGATGACTCGGTCTTGCTCTTCACCACGGCATCGACTGGGGGATCGGGAGGATGCTTCCTTGCAGCTAGAGTGGAAAGAGTGACGAGCAGATATGTATTGAGTGATTGAAAAAGAAAGAGTATAGGGAAATTCTGTTCCCTTTTTCTTTTCTTTTTTCACAGCCTTGATTTTACTTTCATAGCTGGTGATCATTCTTGTCAGTTTAGCTCGTATTTTGTTTACCAGCTCAATTACTGTGATGTTGTATAAAGTCAATGTCCACTTTAACCTTTTTTTTAATAAACAATTTAAGGGAGATAGATCCAAGGTACTCTAAATCCATATAGCATTATTTCAGAGTTATGTCATTCCTATGATGTGTTTATATTATTTACCACATTAATTACCACTGTTAAGGCAGAGCAAATTCAATGAATGAAAGTTATTGGCGAAGGTGTCATCCTCACCAGTGACAGAGAATCGAGTGGAAGTCTTGCAGTCTCCAGCGACAAAGGCCACTTCTCCTGAGTCGTCTGCCTGGCAATCTCTAATAGTGAGTGTGTACTGTCGGAGCATGCAGGCGATGGAAATACGGGAATCTTCCTTCAGCTTCTCGCCATTGCGGGTCCAGTAGGCGTCCGGGAAAGGATGCTCCAGCTCCACACAGAAGATGACAGTGTCACTGACAGGAACTACTGTCCTCCGAGGAAGCTTCTTAGTGATGTTGCCTGGAATTTGAGAGAGTGTAGACGTTACAAAGAAATGAATTCAGCAGCATAATAGAGACGTTGAAAAATATTTCAAGGATCAGGTACGCAGTAGATTCAGTCTGTATAATTTTCTAACTTTTAGAAGTATTTTAAGAAGGTTCAACTGTTTACTCTTGATAATAGTATTATACATAATGTTTAACAAGAAATAAAGACAGAAAAAAGTCACAACCATACCCAGGACGGTGAGCTCAGCCACAGTACGACTGCCTTCTTTCATCTCGCAGATATAAACACCATCGTCGTTGGTTGTGACATTGTGTATGGTGAGACGACGCAGGGTGCCTTCCTGCTCCATGTAATATTTGGTACTTTGCTCCAGCCTCGTTTCCTCCATGAACCAATTGGCGTGAGTGGCACTGACAGGCACCTCACACATCATTGTGGCTGATGCTTTCTCTTGTACCTCCACGTCCTGCAGCTTCCTCTTGAATGGCACCTTAGGCTCTGTCACATTGAAAAATAACAGAATATTCAAGTTGTGCATTCATGCTGAGGGTTTTACAAATGTCAGTTTATCAACTACAAACTGCAGCATATAGTTGATGATACAGTCAACCATTGGCCAAATGTTCTACATCTGTTCTCTCAGGTGTAGTTAATTCACATGGGACTTTTAATCTGCAATTTTTGACGTGTTTAAAGAAACTTAAGCACCCATGATTTGAGACTTGTCTATTCAACAACAATATTCAACAGTCGAAATATATAAACTGACAATATTACATTTCTGATAATATAGCAAGTAAAATAACTTCATAGGTTCATCATAGGTTGTTGAAGTAAAAGTTTGGTAGTTAAACAAAAGTTTTCTTAAAGGTTGGAAATCAATTAAAAAAGTTAAATCACACTCAATCATTATGCAAAATGCTGTGTGCATAATACATAAAAATGTTGTCAATGTTTTTGATATTATTTTCCCGATAATTGTTTGTATTTACATGATTTTGTTTAATGTCAACTATGAATGTGCTACTACACTACAACTGTGCTTTCAATGGAGGTTGTAGAGTACATGTTGTACATTTCCCCTACTTCTCAGTTTTCTTATTGCCCTCTGCAGCACAAATAAAGGTTACAGTTTCAAACTGTATCCATATCCATACTTTGGAAATGAGCCATCAGTTTTAACTGTAGGAATTAAGTGTTGAAACATGTGGAACTCATAACACTTTGAGTTATGGGTAACGTCCATGGGTTCATTCAAAGTATGTGTCTAAAATAAATGTAATATCTACATTCGAATATTTACAATATTTTCTGTAATGCACCAGAGTACAAGTAAGCTGTTTTCATCTTGGCAGTGAAATATATTTACTTCGAGAATATCAGGTTGCACAAAAACACACGTCAAACACTAAAGGGAATTAAAGTTCATGAGATACAGTTTGGCTACTAAAGGGAATTTAATTTTGTAATCTAGTCTCAGTCTTTGATAACATACAGTACATTAACAACAGCATTAACAATGCTTAAAAGTTAAATATTTTGTTCCTCCCTCCTGATTTCATAAGTTATCTTCCCATGGATTTAATTTACTTCTGTCATTTCTTAGTAATGTATAATAATCCAGCATAAAGTTGCTAAATTACAGTTTGTATACTGTGTATTTTGTCCATTGTTACTGTACTGGTATAACAGAAGTGACGAACAATAAATCAAGCAAACTAACAAACCAGAAGGCAAAGAAGTATCCATTTTCCTGCACACAACAATAATCAGGTACATCAGTGGCACAGACCTCATTATCGGACTAAATGGAGATTAACAACCAACATAAATCTACAACTCTACAATTTCGTCTCTTGGGGCAATTTCTTCCCAAGGGAAGTCACACTAGCAGCGGTGCCAATGTGCTCCAGTAAGTGAGTGACCATCTTAGCAACTGTGAACTACTCATCACCAGCAGAAAATAGATGCAACACAACACCCTCCTTCAGAGGATGAGCCAGAATCCAACCTTGTTGTGAACAGCCACACACATTTTGAGAGGTTTAAATGAGGCTTTGGTATAGTGATTCAGACCGTACTTACAGTAGTGCAGTTGCCAACAATGAGTTTATCCTACAAACGTAGCATTTTCCTCTCTGCCATTTACCTCCATTATTATAGCTATTAAAAACACATAAGTGGGCCGCACTGCTGCACTGGGTGACATGTTCCTTCATTGCGATGAACACAGGCACTGTAGTTTATTTTAAGTAAATTTCACATGTGCCCTCATCAGTATAAATACTGATGAGGGCACCAAATGTGTAATTATTTGCAGCTCAAGATAGTCCCCAACAAATGACTATTCACTCCTGTTTGAGTAATGTTTGCTAAAAAAAACCCAGTGCCCAGCTGTTTTAGGAAATTATTCAGCCAGTACAGGATATATTTGCAAGTCATTTTTAAAGATTTATGTCTTCAGTGGGAAATAATTGGCTTGGGGTCTTGGGACTGGGTGCCACAGACGAGGTAGAGAGGTTGAAAAGTATTGAGAGACAGACTAAGATACTGTTGGTTCTCATTGGATTTGTTAATATATATATTTTTAAATTAATCATGGCAGCCTAATCCTTTAATCGTTGCTTGGAATATTCTGTAAATGCTGGACATAAGGTGGTGGAGTGACAGCCTCTATGATGTTAAATGTGCTGATAATAAATAACTAAACATAAAATTCACACATAAAACCTCTCTAATGATTGCTTACTTGTAGAGGATTCTCTTAAATGTCTACACAGAACTGATCGTTGTACTGCGTGTAGCATTTTCTTACGACACGACCATCTTACCTTTGACTGTTACCAACACGGCACTGTAGGTTTGCCCAGCCATATTGGTTGCATTGCAGGTGTAGAGACCATTATCATTCTGCTTGCAGTACAGGATCTTGAGGATGAAGTTCTCAGCTTGGTCCTCATAAATGACATGCCTGCGGCCCTCGCTGATGTTCGTGCCATCCTTCCTCCAGATGATGTGGGGTTTAGGGTGACCCGTCACAAAGCAGCTGAGTTTGGCGTGTTTTCCTTCAGTCACCGTGCAGGTACGGGTGAACACACCTTTGGGAAGCTTTGCCAGCGCAGAGGCCCTCAGCTCGTGTTCCAGACTCAGGGAACTCAAACTATCTCTGATGTTGGTTTTGGAGGAGGAAGAAACCGAGGAGCTGCTTTCTTCGGTGCGATAGATCGAGATGTCCTTGTTCATTTCCTCTTTGCGCTTTTGTAGGTGAGAAAGGAGGGAGGTGTTCTTGTCTGCAGTGTGGCGGGCATCCTGGGCGTCTACAACCAGGGCTGCCGCAGCATGTGCACGGCCGACCGTGTTCTTGGCCCTGCAGGTGTAGGTGCCGCTGTCCAGATTACGCACACTTTGGATCTTTAAGGTGCTGCTGTCACTGTCGGAAACGATCTTGACACGGTTAGACTCCCCCAAGTAGCGCCCATCTTTCTCCCAATCAAAGTTGGCGTCAGGGTAAGCTGCGACCCGGCAGAGGAACACGACATCGCCTCCCAATCCTACGCGTGTAGATGTAGGCTTAAGCAGGAAAACGGGGGCCCTCTGTGCCATCTCCGTTGGCAGGGCCACTTTGAGGGTTACCGCAGCATAAGCTTCCCCAACAGTGTTTTTGGCCCGGCACATGTACTGGCCACTGTCCTCCAGCGTTAAGTCATAGATGGTCAGGCGGTACACATCTCCATCCTCCACGGTCTTGAAGCGTCCCCCGGATGTCAGCTTCAGCTTTTCCTTTTCCCAGGTGATCAGTGGGGTCGGGCTGCCAACGATGGTGCAGCTCAGCGTGGCGTCCTTGCCTGCACACACCGAGAACGCCTTCGGGCGGGTGAGAAACCGGGGGACTCCACCAAACAAGTTTTGATCCATTGTTGGTTCCTGTAGTCAAATAAATGGTTAATATTAGAATCCAGTAACAGTAAGAAATAATGACACAGTCCCCGTCAAAAATAAATTCGTCTGTACAATTGGGTAATATGATGATTAATGGATAAAAATGTTGCTTTATAATTCAATAATATTCATCAATAAATGTTCAAGATGAAACAAACACAGTTTCCTCTGAAGTGTAACAAATAATACAAAAGAAAAAAGAAAGTTAGTCAGTTATTTTATATCACAGTCATTTCTGACCCTGTGAAATGCACCAAAACCATTGTGAGACGAGACCATTTGTAAAGTCTACTCTATAAATATGTTATGCTATGAAAATAGACATAAATCCACAGTTCAGATGGTCATATTTATGGCTGGCAGTAAATGTCAGTCAACATAATCCACTCCTGGCCTGACCCTGCAGACATTCATCATCAATATAAAGACTTCACTTCATGCATCCGCAGCCGATTTAATAGGAAGGGTAGTTTTAATAACGCAACAACAAATGAATTCCCCTGTAACAAGGTCAAATAGTGCAGATATGTGCCTTTCAAAGAGTGACATTTGCCAGCTTTGTCACCTCTGTCGCTTGAACCGCCTGTCCCTAAAAATAACCTCAGCTGTCAGACCCTGTCTCTGTCCATTGCCATTTGTAGAAGCGAAAGGGACATCAGCTGCTTGATAAAGCTCCCTCTTCAGAAACACACTTCATTTCTCACACAGTGTGGTTTCTCTAAGCGAAACTAAAACGCCCTTTAAAAAATATATACATATGTTGGAATTGAATGACTAATTTGCTGTTAAAACTGCGCAAACCGGACCACACACACACACACACACACACCTGTAGTTAATTACAGTTCAATGACATTAACATTAGCCTAACCGAAACTGGAAGTTGTAGTTCAACTAGTAACTCAAGGCAGCAGCTGTAGCTGTTAACAGTTCCAGGTGTGCAAGTTTTTAAATATAATTTAGTTCATAATTCACAGTTTTCCTACAAATAACTGCTTTAACTTCGGTTATTTTCTCTGTATAATTATATAATATATAATTATATTATATATGTTAAAGCTAACCTTCGTTTATTAGCCTAACGTTACTTTTTCACCTTGAGTCTTCAGCCACTCAGGTAAGACGGTGAACGGTGAATCATGTGGGCTGAAAAGTCCAATTGTGGCCGTCAAAAGCTTTCCGGGTGATATCCAACTCCAGTAGTCAGCGTTTAGAAAAATCCCACCAAAAAAATGTCTTCTTTGTGTTCAAATATCCTTGAAATGGTTGTAAATCCAGGATGGTGGAACATCCCCCAGTCTCCTGCGGTGGGCGGTGGACTAGACTCCTTCTCCGGTACCTCATGATGCCAAATAGCTGACGTGCCTATTTTGGCGCAGCCTCCTTTTCCAAAATAGACTTGTCATTTAGTGTGGAGATAGGAGATCTCTTGGTCGGGAAGGAGAGCAGACAGGCCTGGCCCCTGCCGGGCTGCACACTTCTGCAGGTTGCACACTTTCCAACTCGGTCGTAAACAACTCATAATACTGAGTTTTACTACTAAAAATGAAGCTGCAGGGGAGAAGCTCAGCCGCACTTTTTGAGTGTAACATAAGTCTAATATTACTTTATTTACTTTCATTAATAATTGTTTACATTCTATTCAATTAGTAGACGAGTTTGTCCAAAGCAACTTACAATAAGTGCATTCAAACCATGTAGGAGCAAGAGAGACTATCCAAAATCCAAAAGTGCTGGAGATGTTTGTTTTTGTTTGCTTGTTTGTTTGTTTACAAATGAGACATTAACAAGTGGTAGCAAGGGTTGGTGAAATGTAGTATAAAAAGGTGGGTTTATTTATTTTATTTATTTATTGTTTATATATATTCTGTATTGGCCAGTAACTCATTACTAGTAATAATATTACTTTCCCCAGTAACTAGTAGTGTAACTAATTACTAATAAATTCAGTAATAATATGGTCTAAACTGGTCCCCCAACTACATTACTTTTGTTGGCAACCCCTACTAATTTGAAATCCAATCACATCCTTGGATTATTTTTTGTAATTGTGGAGAAAACTAGTTTGGAAAATGGAAACATTCAGCAGCTAGAAATACTCCCATTACTTTGATTTTAACAAAACTGCATTATAATTGTAGTAAATCTAAATTTTGGGGAGAAGGGGAACAGTGGGGAGTACAGCAGAAAAGTAATGTAACTAGTAGTGTAACTAATAACTGTTGGTAAAGAATAATATGTAATAGATTACATTTTTTGAGTAAGTAGCCAAGCTGTTGGCTGTATAGTCAAATTGAAATATACTGAGACCAGAAATACTGGCATTAGTGACACCATGTCAAGCTACAGCCCTGACTTTGGCTTATTAAACATCTTATTCAAGTCATCTTAAATCACGTGGCCCTGTCTGTGTCAGAAAGGGTGGAGGGGATTTGTTTTTTATTTAATTTAAAATACGTATGTACTTCAGACTTACATTTATGCGATTACGGGTAGTTAAGGTAAATGGTCGCTCATTTCGCTGTGGAGTCACACTATAGGGCCAGAAATGGCATCTAGTACGGGACTATTGATGACTCAACTCGACTTCACCTTTCTTGTATTCATTTGCAGGTCAACTCTGTGACAAGGAAATCAATCTCTTGCCGCCTCTATCAGTGTCTAATGATGTTTTGAGCTCAGTTTACCGTAGGGTGAAGGGAGAGCTGACTGAGCATGAGGGATCAGCAAAATTAAATGCAAAGTGGTTGATTGTGAAGTTAACTTGTGTACTGGAGTTCTTGAACAACAACAGCTGGTCCCTATCCCTGTCATGTCCCATATCAAGTCCCTATCATGAGGTCACCAGTTTGGCACAGAACAAAACCCAGGTGACCCTTGGAGTCGTTGGCATATTTTTTTTTTCCAGTAGTGACGGAGGCTAAAGGCCCCCGTTCTTATACTTTTTCAGCCACACTAATAAACAGCCGTTCTGATTTGTGCAATGAACGATTAGTCATGAGACTTAGAGTGATAAACAATGTCATAGTGCGCCTTTAAACCTTATTTTCTGTCCTTTTTCCTTTTCTGTTCTGTTGTGTCACTTGAACCTCACCAGCATGCAGTGGTAGACAATCACTCATTTTCGAAACAATAATATTGCATTATTAGCGATTTTATGGTAATAATATGGACTCGTTTGTCTTTTTGCTCACTGCTCATTATGTATCATCAGTGTCATTCTGTCCATTTTTGTGACATTATCTTCTGTGTAAGACCAGAAAAGTCTTGCTATTCACGTGTATACAGTCTGTGTTAAGACTCTATTTCAACTCAATGTAAATGTGATTGGGGTAAGCTGGCTCAACTTGCCCCCCTGGCACATTGTATTGTTGACAGCTGCATTACCCAGCTGGTCAGGCCCATACTTAAGTTATGACTTCATATTGTACAAAAGCCTAAAATACAGTAATGTTAAATGTGTTAAATGTATCTACCATGATCATCTTCACAACGATGAAAACACTTTGCAATATCTCAGAATGACATAGCAATCCTTAGCAGGGCATTTGTGTGCCACTTTCTATTAGGCTCTACTTAAGCACAGATTTATATTTCTTAAATGATTCTAGAGTGTCTAGAAACAAGGGGTAGCAAGTCTCACCCCTTTCTTCCCTATTCTTTGGCTTTCATGGTATTTTCTTGGTCTTCCGGAGTGGGCTTTCCCCCCAGTGCCAATGACTGACAGCAGCAGGTCGCCTGGACCCTGATTTAAACTCCCCGAAACTCTAGCAGACGGTAATCCACTGTTGCTGCTCGCATCTACTTCATTCTGTTCTGGCTACTGTGTTTAGTTTCCATACTCCTGAAAGTGCATTGAGAACAAGAAAAAGGCAAGAAATACAAGATAACTCCTTTGTCCCACATTCATCCAAACCTTTTAGTTCACTAACATGTCATATGTGGGGAAAATAAAAGCATGTTTTATATAAAGTTACAATTTAACTGACCTCCAATAGTTTTTCTCCCCCTCCTTTGCTTTTTCTGTGGTTGCTGTGATGCCAAATCAGTTGGTGGCATCAAATCACATCATGGATGGTATTTACACAAGCTTTGGTAATCATCCAAAAGTTACTTTCAGCCAGCAATCTTGGCACCTAGATCACAATACAGCAGAAGACAGTAGATAGGCACATGGCACCTGGCTATATTTTTAGCAACTATAGAGTTGGATAAAGTCCCAAGTAAAACATTCCAATGTAATGAGACGATTTTCACCAATATACTCTCCAATATCTGACCTACAAGGCCTTCCACCTGACCTCTTAGCCATTTCAAGAATAAGGTCACGGTTGTATCATGTTCACAGCCGAAACACATTGGTGTTACCTCAAAAGAACATTTACATAGCAGACGACAAGTGAGACAAATGTCAGTCGCACCAAGGACAGATAACCAAGAATGAACAGCAGATGGCGTTTATGTCCCTAAAATGTTCACTGGGGACTTGAACAACCAACTAGATATAAAAAAAACAAAATAGTGTCACAAAATAGAGGCGTGTGATGTTTAATTAACATGTGGACAGCATTTACAGTATTGACAGAGTATAAAATAGTACAACAGGCGTAAAAGAAAGAAATGCATGAGTCATCCTGTTCTAACAAAATGAAACCAATCAAAAATATCTATTCTAATTATACTACCCACCATTAAACCTAGTGTATATAACAGAAATATCAGATTGCTCAAGATTTACAGTTCCCTTGCACCACCAGTCAACTTTTATTAAAAACAGTCCAAGTACAAAGTAAATGTCCTTATATTTGGTGTTCATAGCGAAGATTAGACAACAGCATTTTGTGCCTGCCAATGAGCGTTTTATTCTGGTACGTACTGGATCTAAACTGTGAGAGGTTATAGACGATTATAGCATCTGAAAATAGACAGTGAGTGAGACGGACAGAGAGCGTGGGAGACACACAACACAAACCAAGCCTGTGTGCAACAGTGAATAAAGTCCTCCTTTTAGAAGATTTGTTCCAGTGAGCTTTTACTGAAGAGAAAACTTGCTGATGGTGATTTATCAGATTATATCAGACACATAAATCAGATATATATTTACACAATATGGAATATATGACTTTGTTTGTTATTACGTAGTTATTTTGTTGGTAATTTGTTTTTATCATCAGTGGTTTTGTCTGTATTGTTACGTTGTCTTTTTTGATACCACCACTAGGGGTCACCAAAGTGAGACATTTTCAAAACCTGCATAAAGTGGTTTTAATGGAAAAATTTGTTTTATGTGGATGTCCAATCAGTGCTGATGGCAATACATTTCTCAGTGCATGCTACACTGACAGAGATAGCTGAGTTCCTGTACATGAGAATCTGACACCTACACTGTAAAAGCTAAGTTAACGGCTGGGTGCTAATCAAAGCTACACAACGATGCCAAGCAAATTAATTCCTGCAATTTAACCATTTCTTTTTCACATGTGGCTGTATCATTACCTTTAACCTCCAAGCGTAACAAGTCTATAGTTCTTCCTTGACACAAACTACATCACTGTACATGTCAAATGACGGCGCTGGTGCCAGAAGAACAGACTTTACAGCTATTTCTCGATCAATACAGGACACACTGAAGAGTTTACTGCTTCAATTAACTACATTTACCATCACACCCACATAGAATGTGGCAAGTTGTCCCTTTAAGTATCTTGGGGTTTATTTATACAAAGCGTGTCCTCTGTTTAGATACCATTTTAGCACGTCAGACTCAACTCCATCATCCTAGATATAATTAGGCTCATTGTATTTTTGGCTGAATATATGCTAACATTAGTAGCCATTTGCCTATATTTGGTATGCTAACATGCTGACAGCATTTAACTGGCAGGTTAAGATATACCTGGACAATAGATGAAAAGCTCATGTTATGAATGTCTATAGAAAATATCATGACAATCATTGTAACAGTTATGATGATACTTCACTCTGGACCAAAGTGTTGCGCTGACAGGCCGACACTGAGCCATGCTACATCAACACTTTCAGAAATCCATGTTATCATATAAAAGGTTGTTCAGGACAAATGCGTCAATACTATTTTGTACCCGTCAGATATGTCCAAGACTGGAAGAGAAAATGTTTCACAAGCTGACACAGCAAACAAGCAAAAGCAATAATAAAAAAAAAAAAAAAAAAGAGAAAATTAAAATATATTTTTATTTCAAATAAACATCACATAATCAACCACACATGAAATGATTAAATACACTCAAAATAAGATTTATTTGCCTCTCTACTCACTCAGAAAACAACACATGTATTGTAAAGCTGTGCCGAAAACAAGTTCTTTTGGCATGTTTCATTTTTCAGCTAGTGAACAAAAACAAAACAGACAAACCTATGTAACAAAACAAAACAAAAAAAACATGTCTTAAAACATATTCAACATTTCAGGATGAAAACTTAGCACCTTGTTCCAGTCACTGTGATTCTTAGACTGGTGTATAGTGGATAAGAAACCATAGTTCGATGAGAAGGTTGGCCATGATGACACTGCCAATTACAAGGCATACTCCTGCTTCTTTAGGATATTGAGGACAGTGCAATTTTAGCCACCATGACAAGAAGAAGTGTGCTTTCAGACGCAACAGACTGACACGAGATCTCAATGTCAACTTGCCACTCGTCTTACAAGCCACATCCACAACTTCACCACATACTTGATGCTATACACAATGACTTGCCAAATAAAATACTGTACATAGTTCGTTCTGCTAAATCTGTTAAAGTAATTTCAATAGTTGACATGAAATGGCTTCTATAAAGAGGAAATACTAAACCTTAATACTAAGGCACTGCTTAAAATAATATGACAAACGTAACAGTGAGGTGTAAATGCGGAGACTGTTGAAAGAAATCAACTCTGTGCACAAAGCTGAGCTCCAGTGTCTCTACAATAATAAACTCACTGCACAAACGGACAGTGACCACAACACCCATGTAGGCATATTTAACAAAGTGACAGAAACACACATCATCCCCTACAGGCCGAACCTGTACTGAGGTAAGAACGACCGTATGTGATTTGGCCACAGTGTTTCCAGGTGGTCTGCTGTGGACAGTGACTATACAATACGTGCTGATGCTTTGCTTATATACAAACAATGAGGTCACTCAGGATGGAGACTGACTCTGTGTCCCTTTTGAGACCTGCCCTTTCCAAAAATGTTGCCAGTACTGTATCTATGCACACGCTTAAAAATAAAAAATAAAATGTTTATTTTCTGTCAGTGCAAAAATTCTGAGTTCACGTTAGCATAAGGTGACAAAACGCATTGCTTCCACAGTCGAACTCACCGAGGAAGTGTACTAGTTTCTAAACACACGAAAGGGCAAAGACACATTTATACCCTCTGAAGTCTTGCAGTCGTGGAGGATGAGATCAATATTACTGTGATCTGTAAAGAATGCAAAAAAAGGATAGAAAGATATTTTGCGCACTGCATAAACAAGCAGATGTAGTCTTGAGTTTATTTTTTTTTAAGTGTAACATTCAACATCATGCTGCTGGCCATGTTATCTTTGCATTAATAAATCCTTTTAATCAGAATTTCAAATCTTTTTTTTAAACTACTGTCAGTGGGAGGTACATGCCATTTCTTTCATCAACAAGAGTATAAGCTTTTATGAAAGTAAATGAGCTGACAAAACAACCTAAATATTTCTTTTTTTCAAATAAATAATACACACATATCAATTAAATATCTGGGGGGAAACAGGAAATAAATAAAACTAAAGCTAGAACTAATGCTGACTGTGGAAAAGTTTTTTTTTTTTCTCCTCATGCTCTTACTTTGAAAGTATAAACCCAACACTGAGAGGTGCGGTCCTAAAATCTTCAAACCAAAAGCTGCAGAAGCAACAGAGCACGTTCTGAAATAAGCCCTTATGATGAAGTTCCTTTTTTTTTTTTTATGCGAGCATTTTGGAAAAAGGATACAAACTACATACTAATGTGCACAACAGAGGTTTGTAAAATCAATAACACCCTGTTTTGTTCTAAAATAAATTATTCCTCCGCACCGTTTCTGGGACATCAACACTTGACTCATAACTTCTGCTGGGCAACAAAATAAGAACAGAAAAAGAAACAGATTCCATTTACACCTGCCATTAAAATCAAAATGCAGTTAAAAAGATGCATCTGTACACGGCATAATAAACCTTTATGTACTGTTTATATATTTACACAAATACAGAGTAAATACACTGCAGAGGTATTGATTGGAGTATTGGTTATACTTCACCACCACTGAGGTAATATGGAAAACCAGGATTTAAATATGTTTTTTTTATATATTGGTGTTAAGGCATAAAGCTGGCTCTGTGTCCAGCTTAAATAGACTTAAAAAGACATCTTATATCTGCATCAGATTTTGACGACGAGTGTATTTGGGTCCCATGATTTCAGTTCTGTTGTTGAGGAATAGTAATGTCTTGATACATCCGCTGTGGAAATATTAATACTGAATAAAATCTGTATTTAGAACCACTAAAAACAGATAGCAGCATCAAAGCATGTGCACATATTTATGGTTTAAAGACATGTTTTGTCAAACCCAATGGGGCTTTTTCCTGGTACACATGGTGTTTTAGTAGTACGGCTACCGTACCGTCAGCTTTTTATCATAGCAATACTTGGTATCTTTTTTTTGAGGATTAGATCAGGTAGTAAAAATGTGGACTTTTAAAAGGATAAGTAAGACGCAAAAGAGTATTTACAAATCACCAGGGTCAAACAGCACAACTTGAAATATTGAATACATTTTTTTCAGGTGAAAACTGTTCAGGCAGCTACAATACAGTTTGCAACCTTTGTAGCACAGATCAGGACACCACCTCTGTGAGAAGCTTCAATTAGACTCCCGCTGTAGAACTTTGTGATGCACAAATACTTGAATTGCGCACACACAGGCTCAGCAGAAGTCCCGAGGATCCTTTTTGCATTCCACAATAAAAATTGGCCACACCCACCATCACACAGTGATCCTATGAATACACAATATTGTCTTTCTGTCACTTTATACGTAGTTTGTCTGTACACATTTATGACGAAATCAGGATGAAACGGACGGAAGACATATGGTTTCCCTGATGCCATAGTCTGCCTGATGTGACAGGATGAGGCGTGGAGGTGCAGAGACAGTGGTTATTCAATGAGCCCCCTCCTACAACAAACGCTGAATGATGCTTTTAAGATCCATGCTAAATTCTCCATGAAGATCATCTAAGGCCACAATGTTCATAGAAGAAAGTAAAATGTAAACACTATAAAAAAAAAAAGAGAGAGAGAGGGGCATTATCATGGCGATGTATCCCCTGTAGAATCAATGGCCATTTGTTGACCAACAAGTATGTCACAGGATACAGAACCACAAAGCATAGACTGAAGACATGTGTCATATTATAAAGTTTAAAATAGAGCATATACCTTATGACATAAGGCACTTCAACAACTACTCCCAGTGCCCTGTTTTGGAGTAGATCCATTGTTAATCTCTTGATCATCTTCATTCTCCTCTTCCTCCTCCTCTTGCCAGCGACCAAGGTGGACAGGGGTGGGCATGGAAATGCTGGAACCGAGCCCACTGTGAGCCTGGAAACCTGATAAGAGTGTTGATGCAAGGTCAAAGTCTTTCTTAGGCATAGTCTCCAGTTTATACAAAAGAAATCATCACACTCCAAATGTTATCCCACCTCTGATTTTAAACACTACAGATCTAATGATCAATGTTTTACACCTTTCACTGAAGTCTGAATATGTTTAAATGTTAATGCTAATATGTTATGCGTCGTTTTGTGAACAAAAAGGAATATATACTTGAAGGATCATACCAGTGTTTTGGTATGTTTAAGCCCATTTACTACAATATATGTGTATATACACATGTACTTTACTTGTATACTTTTACAGTATGCTTATGTGTGTTTTCACCTTTCTGGTAGCTATTGCTCTCCTTTAATTTTGCTATAATTGGAAAACCATCTTGGAGAGACTTGCACTTGTGTTCATCAGTGCAGATTTGGTTTCTGTGCTGTGTTACCATGTCGTAATAGTATAATGACGAATATTAGAGCAGACATAATTGCTTCTAAAATCGATTCTAAGTAACTAATTCTACGTCCTTTAAGGCTGCTCAATTTGTAGTGGATCTGACTGGAGTGTGTAATTAAGTGCAGACTGAGGTCATCACCATGATTTCAGCACTACAAGCAATCTTTTTCACATTACACAGTCACTGGATTCAGTGGTAATATAAAGAATATTTATAAATGCGGGTGAAAATCGTCACTCAAACAGAACTGTACACTGACAAGAATGGGTCATTTGTTTTTCCGCTATACTGAGGCTGCAATTTTCTTCAAAATCAATATGTTCATTTACCAGTGCTTGTGTGCAGATCTCTCATTGGTACTGAGCTTTGCCACTGCCCTGAAGTTCTCTGTGGGTGGGAGCTCTGCTGGTGGAGCTGGAGAAGACAAGCAGTAGTCAATGCACAACAGAATAGAGACCTAGAAGATACACTGAAAAGAGCTAAATCTATCTTTTGAGCATCATATACAACACCGGTACACTTGAAATAGGATGTTTCGCCATAAAAACTATTGAACCATTGAAATCCTTTGTAACCAATGTGAGTTCAAGCTGACTGCAGCCACTGTGCTCCAAACTGCAACACTGTATGTCTCAAAAGATATGTCTCTTTAAACTCCAGGCACATAACAGAGAAAAAGAGGATAAAAATACTGTCAGACAGTTTGTGGTCAGGAAATTACCTCATGCAGGTAGATGGCATGAAGACTCATCTCTGCTGACGCAAACTCTGAGTGCAGAGCGTTGCTCCGGATGTGGGAGTCACTGTTAGTCATACTGAAAAAAAACAACATGTTAACTAAAGCTGAAAACAAGCTTTTGCATTCATTCAACAGTCTCGCCAACCCTATTACATCTACAGTATGTACATGGTGCAGTGGCACAAGTGAGATGTGATAAGTACCTGTCAATGACGGTGCGATCGCTGCGGTACATGGTGCTCTCGGGGTGGACGGATGATGGCAGGAGGCCATGTGAGCGGCCGCGGCTGGGATGTGCGAGCTCGGAGGTGGACAGAGAGGCCAGGACGCTGGCAGCAGCAGAGGCAGCGGTGCTTGGTAGGATGAAGCGATGGTCTCGCCCTTGTAACCCAGACGCAGTGAGAATGGGGTGGGCGAGGACACTGGCCAACAGATTATCAGGCTGGAAAGAAAAACACACATCAATACAGGGCCACTAAGTAAATAAGAGCACATTGGATAGAAAAGAGGTCTCTAAAAAGTATTCTGGAATTGTTTAAATATCCTATGGTAATTTACACTGTTAGGTAAATGCTTTACTGCTTCGTACATCAGCTGAGTAATATCTTTAGTTCATGTGTGGTACACTGTATTTGTGTGATCAACATGGTCCCCAGGGTTTCTTACCCCAGTGGCAGAGTCGTTAGATTGCAGCGAGGTGCAGAGAGGAGCCTCAGAGAGCAGCAGCTGGGTGGAGGGGCCGCCCTGTGCATCGTGCTGCACCTTTTCCTTCAGATGGCTGATAAACACTGAGCTCTCCTGAGGCGGCTGCCAGCGTGGGTTCTTAATTGTGAAATGCATGAGAGACAACTCTGTCTTGCCGTTCTCAGCTTGTTGGTATATTGAAGCCTCAGTCTGGCCCTCTGACATCCACTGCAAAAACATTTAAAGATATATATCCATTCAAGCAACAACATCGCAACATTAAATGAAACGTTCACTCGGAACTTTGCTCGTTGAGAGTCACCCTCTCTCCAGTTTGAAAACAGCTAATGGCTGGCTTGAATCTGAATGTGACAGAAGGAACGAAACGTACTGTTGGGTTTCCATGACGTCTGATGTCCATCTGCGCAAAGGAACAGATGTCTCCGACTCCAACCACCTCCACAGTGAAGTTCCTGAAGAAGTCAATGATCTCTAGAGACTTATTTCTCAAAAGGAAGATGAGGATGAAGGGTGTGACAATAGGACTGAGCAACTCCTCCAAGATGAACACCTAATTGGGACAGAGACACTGATTATACATTAATTATAAGTCTAAATATATTCCTACTGTACAGTCAAATGCAGATCAATGTTCCCAAAAATGACTCAATAAATCCAGTGATTGGACCATTATGTCCAATCTGACAGTCTTATCATTGCACAGCTGCTACATTAAAAAACGCCATCAATCACAACAAAAACTCATCCATAACTTTAGTTTTGACAAATGTGTTCCTGTCTACGGAGTTTCTCCATTCCTCACCGCTTTGTACTGAAACAGCTGCGCCACCTCGTCACGGGTCTCGCTCTTGTTAGCGTTGCCCCTCCAGTGGTCTGGCATGTAGTGAATGTGTGCCAGCATACACTGCAGCAGCTGTTCTGGACACCACACCATATGCTCATCTGGGATGAAGGACCTGGTGTAGGATAGGTACAAAATATGTACATTTTCCAACAGTATATGTGAGATAAATTGGGAAAACAGGATAGTTTTGTACAGA